TTAGTAGAGAAGCAGAAACAGTTAGTAGAAAAGAAAGAAAATACAGTTAGTATTGTTAATATTAATATTAAGATAAAAGGTTTTCATACCAACTGAATAACTTTCGATTAGTTTTTTTGTTTATTTTTTTTTTATCATAATATTTGTAATTATGACTACTTACGAAAAAAATATACATTTTAAATAAATGACCAAACATTTTTAATAAGAAATTTTGTCGAGGAACGAAAAAGATAAAGTTTATTTTTTTTTTGCTTATTTTTTTTATAGTGCGGTAGATTTGCAAAAACTTTATTGAAAATAATTAATAAAAATTACATATATCAGAATTTACGAAAATCTCTATCTAAATAATCATGAAACTATCTAAATCAAGACCGACCCTGCATTCTTCCAGAATCTAACACAACTGAAACCATATTATCATATTCCAGCAATCAGAAAAGGAAAAGGGCTTGGCCCCTACTGCACTAAAAATTTGACCAGTGAGATTCATTATGGACCATAGAATTAACAAGTTGATTAGAATCATAAGATGTGCGATAAGTTAGAAAACTGTATCCTGAGGAATCTGTAAGAGATTGCTTTAAAGCGTCAGTAATATCGCGAGATAATTCAAAAGTTTTGAGCTCTAAACAGCAGTCCTTCCACATAGCTTGAGATTGTTCAAAGATAAAATGCATGAAATTGAAAACTGCAGCAAAAGTCTCATTTTGAGAAACGAAAGTCCTTTTGAAAAGATGTATTAATTTAAACGGAATAATGCCTTTAATAAGGTCAATAAATGTGAATTGTGTTGGTGATGGTGGGAAAAGTGATCAGATTTCGAGCTGTTCAATTTGTTGAGGTGAGTGATCAGATTGTAAGATATTAACAAGAAGCGCTTTTGCATTGTTGATTAAAGCATGCGATTTATGCAAAATCATAGGACATGTCCATAAATGAGCAAAATCCTCTGGATCAGAATCACATCTGATACAAGTTTGGGAACCATCAAACAGAAGCGAATGACGTCTCTTTAGAATTTCCATTGTAGGAAGCATCTCAAGAATTCGATGTATTTTTGATTTCATTAAAGCAGAGGCTTCGTATGAAGTGACTCTTAGAGCAACGTTGTCGGAGATGTATTTTGAAGTAGTGATCCAGTCAATGTCCAGACTGGCATATTTGTAATTGATATCAAGATTCAAAAAGGAGATAAAGATTTCTATACGCAAAATATTTTTAAGAAAAGGTTGTATAGAAGAGGCTATGGCTAAATAGTTGAAATATAAGGATGTATAAAGTTGGTCATTAATAATGAAATTTAATGCTGATGTAGTTAATGAGCTTTTGGTCATTTGATCAACTTTTTCATTATAGGCATCACCCGAATGTGCTTTAACTTTTATCAATTTCACAGATAACAACAAAGTATCTATGATTTGAAATAGACATTGCCAAATGTGGACGTTGACAATCTTAAGGAATGGTCATTGTGAAGGAGAAATTGCCGATAATAGCTTGTATTTGTTATACTGTAAAATAATGTTGCTAGAGTCTGTATAAATTGTGATTTGACAATTGGCAGGGACTACCAAAATGGCAGTAAACATTGCAGCCAATTCAGCAACAGATGATGAGGGAAATGAAGATGTAAAAGCTGTTGAATACGAGAGCATAGAAGAAACTGGTGCAGTTTGAAGCCAAGCTAGACCCATTCTGATTGAGGGAGTACCAAGATCTACCAATGAGCCATCAGTGTAGAACTCTAAATGAGTGCAGGGACTGAATTGAGAATGAAGTGTTAGTAAGGTCTGTACATGTGATAAAGGTACAAATTTTTTAATAAAGAAAGGAGAAATAGGAGAAATAAAATCAAATTCAGGTATAGGGGACGGTGGAATACTACGATGATGGATAAAAGCTTTAGCCAATTCATTTAGTAAATTAATAGACCATGAACAACCATGAGTCGAGTCACGATTATGATTTGTCGGAATGATAAAACAGAGATTGATTGGTACTATAAAAAAACATTTGTTTTCTTTGTTGACGATTTGATAGGGTACAAAAGTCTGACAGTCGTGAAGAACACAACGACTACAATTAGAGAACAAAGTTCTATTATTCTGGGTACTTGTCGGAAGCATGTGCAATATGTGAGCATAGTGTTCTTCTGTTTTAAGAAGACGACTAATAAATGGGTGTTGTGACCATAATTCCAGCCAAGTATAAATTTAATTGTACTAGCTTTCTTGATAGGAGGTGTAAAGTCAAAAGTACAGTTGTTCAAATGTGAATAAAAAGCTCGCATACTTCTATCCTGTTCATTTAATAATAATCTATCTTGGAGGGTTAAAAACCAACGTGAAATGCGCTGTGTTGGCAGAAATTCTGGTAAAATATTAAGATCGTAAAAAGTTAACATTATCTTTCCAGCTGAAAAGACCAACTGTTCAACAAATAGCAAGGAGTATTTCCTCAAGTTCACAGAAAGAGCCTTGTATTCATAGGGGAGCAATACTGAGAATAGAGGAGTTGAACCGCCTTTAATAATAAAATGTTCTGAATCAGGAAGTTGTATGGTGATATTGAGTCGCTTCCAATTGCAAAGCAGATTATCAACCCAATCATTTGATTTATGCGACAGATATAGCCATATGATCAAAGGAGAAATATGTAACCATTTGTTTTGTTGGAGTTGTCTAATACACAATCTTGTAGACTCTCCAAGTAGATTGCGATCATTAAGAGAGAAGTGTAGGGCTTCACTATGTGCAGCGAGAAGAAGATGATGCAGATTCATGAGGTTGTAAAAGTAATTAGAGTGGAACACAGATGACAGAGTACTTTGTAATAGATGTAGTTTATTCTTCATGAAAGCTCTGTAAGTTGAATCAAGAGCATTACATTGGGCCATTGTGAGTGCCATTAATTGGGCACGATATTCAATTCATGGTGTAAGAATAGTGTTAAATATATACATCAACTGTTTATCAGTCATCTTCTTTTTTGACATAATGGTTATTGCGGTTTTGATTTCTTTTCTAAGTAAATCAACAGTGAAGGTCTTATTTTTTCCTAACGAAATCCAAATATCTAAGTAGCGAGTGGAGTCATTAAGCGGTAGTGAGTTAATACTAGTGAGATTACCATTTATATCACATATGAGAGGTTGCGGATCTCTAGCGTTATTGATCATAAGGACTGATTTTTCCCAGTTTACTTTAATGTGATTAAGTCTGTAAAAACTTTCAGCGATGGTAACGATATTGGTGAGATCCTCATGTGATCTTGCAATCCAGAGAGTATCATTCATATATGCAAGTGCTGAAGTTTTGAGGGAAACAGATTCTGTTTCATTTACTATAACATTAGGTTTCTACGTAAGCGAAGAGGAATAGCCAAGCGTTGAATTCTGTACACGACAGAATAAAGGATCGTAATAGATACACCATAATAAAGGTGAAATGATCTCTCCCTGATCAATTACAGAAATAAATTTGTAAGAATCAGTGTTGCCAAAAAGTGTAAAGATCTGATTATGGCGATTTCCAAATATCTTAAGGACAAATCTAA